TTTATGTGGCATTTGTTCTCATCACAATGCCACATTTTTAAATTTTTATCATTGTTATCTATTAACGGCAAAACATTTATTACTCCGTGAGGAGAGAATTGTCTCATTATAAGTGGTTGCTCAAACTGTTTCCTTTGTTCGTAAGCAGTTTCATAAAAGTACGCTTCGGAAGACGAAGTATGTTTGGATAAGCCACAAAGAGCTTTAAGTTGATTGCTTTTTGGATATTTCAGTTTTACATTCATTGAATCGCAATAACGCAGCTTCAGCAACGTTTTTCAAATATGAAAACACTTCTTGCTGCATTGAGGTACGATTTTCTTGCTATTACACACCACTTAAATATCTGTTCGGCTTCCAATCGAGCACATACTGTTGATTTATTAATTTTTCTCGGCATCTGTTGAATATATAACTCTGAATATTTTGGAAACTTAAAACACTTTTGCCAAGATCGAACAGTATTACATTTTTCCTTCATTCTCTTGAACATTTTCCATCTTTGTACGATAGACTTCTCGGCACAGAAAGAGAGTGAAAGAGGACAAAGAAGAGTGAAAGAGGACGAAAGAGGGTGAGAGAGGGCGAAAAAGGGTGAAAGAGGGCGAAAAAGGGTGAAAGAGGGCGAAAAAAAGGGAAAAATGAAAAAGGACAAAGAGGATGAGAAGAAATGAAAGAGGTTGAAAGAGGACGAAAGAAGGTGAAAGAGAGGGTGAGAGAGAATGAAAGAGAGTGAAGAGGGAATGAAAGAGGTTGAAAGAGGACGAAAGAGGGTGAAAAAGGGTGAAAAAGGACGAAAGAGGGTAAGAGGGAATGAAAGAGGGTGAAAGAGGACGAAAGAGGGTGAGAGAGAATGAAAGAGGATGAGAGAGGACGAAAGAGGGTGAAAGAGGACGAAAGAAGGGTGAAAGAGGACGAAAGAGGGTGAAAAAGGACGAAAGAGGGTGAAAGAGGACGAAAGAGGCGAAAGATGGTGAAAAAGGACGAACGAAAGAGGGTGAAAGAGGGCGAAAGAGGATGAAAGAGGAATGGAAGAGGGGTGAAAGAGGACGAAAAAGGGTGAGTTAGGGCGAAAGAGGGATGGTGGAGGGGGGTGGGGTTGAGGGAGGTGGAGGGGTTGTGGGTGGGAAAGGGGTGGGTGGAAGTTGAGGGAGGTGTGAGTGAAAGGTGAGAAAAGATTGTATATATTGCTTAATATTTCGCGGCGCGGGATATTCCAGGATCGGTCGCGTCTTTTCGGGATCTACGGTGGGGCCCTCTCGTTGCACACTAAACCCTAAATAACGCACCCGAGAGCGACAAAATTCGCATTTGTCCGGGTTAACGGTAAGTCCAGCGGTAACTATCTTGTTTAAAACTTTCTTTAGCCAAATCATATGATCTTTGAACGTAGGCGTGACTATCACGATATCGTCCAGGTATGCGAACGCGTGAGGCTCCATTTCGGGGCCTAATAACCGATCTAATAAACGTTGGAAAGTAGCCGGAGCCCCCGTAAGTCCATATGGCATTCGCGTAAAATGATATAATCCCATCCCTGGAACACTAAATGCGGTAATCTCTCTACTATTTTTGGCTAACGGTATCTGAAAATATGCCTGGCTCAAATCGATCGTTGAAATATATTTAGCCGATCGTAATTTGTCCAAAATCCCGTTCATATTTGGCAATGGGTACGCGTCTTTTTTTGATACCCCGTTAACTTTTCGGAAATCCAGGCAAAAGCGGTATTTACCGTTCGGTTTCTTGACCATCACTATCGGATTCGACCATTTGCTATAGGATGGCTCTATAATTCCCGCCGCGAGCATTTTTTCAGTCTCCGCCCGTATCGCTTCCTGTACTTTTGGCGATACTAAATAGCAACGTTGCTTAATCGGGGGGCTCGGATCTACGTCTATGGTGTGCTCTGTTAGTGCGGTAACTCCGGGGGTGTCCGTGATTGGCGGTAGCGTTTGTAAAAATTTTCCCAGGGTTTGTTCTTGCGTGGGCGTCAAGTCGGATAACCCACAGCACGATATCCCCTGCCTACCTTCGGTAGTGAGACGGTAACGAATGTGTGGCGTCTGCGTAAAATGCCATTCGCTTGTGGCAAAATCTATCGCTATTCCGAACTTCGTTAAAAAATCAATCCCGAGTATACACGGTACGGCTAAATTCGGTAACAACCCAACGGTAATTTCACGGCATCTATCCTCTAATTGTATCGGTATGGTGGCCTCGGCTATAATATCCGCGAGCTGACCGTTCGCGGTTCGGATCTGAATTCCTCTAGTGCGCGACGTCGGGATGTTTAGCGCGTCGATAATTTTCATTCCCTCGCGGCCTACCAAGGTACGATTCGACCCCGAGTCCACGAGAGCCGTGAGGCTATGGCCGCGTATCATAACGCAGAAGAAACGTAAAGACGGTAATATTTCTTCCCCGACGGTAACATAAGAATAATTGCAGGTCTTGTTCTTAAAACTCGGAGTCGTAGGGACCCCCTCTACGGGCTCCGGTTCGCGTTTCCCGTACACTTTGTACACGTTTGCACGGTAACATCCGGTTTCCCGCAGCGATAACAATATTTTCGGCGAGGTTCCGCACACCCGCGTGCGCGATGTCCGGTCTTGTTACAATTCCAGCATTTTATTATGCTGGCGTTGTTTACAGCCGGACTTACGGTATCCCCGGAGACGGTATCTGAGACGGTAGCCGCCGCGGTAATTGGGGCTCCGATATTCGCGGTCGTATTCTTTGCGGTCTTCCTCTCTTTTCGAGTCGCGGTCGCGGCCGCAACGGTAATCGGGGCTCGCGTTTTCTCTTTTGGCGCGTGATACGCCAAATCCGGGAAGATAGACTGTTTGGGCGGTAACGGGGGACGGTAATTTTTTTCGGCCAGAAAACTACGCTCGACTCGCGTCGCCAAATATTCGAGCGTCGAAAAATCCTCGAATTCTTGTCGCCGGATCGTAATTTGCAACTTTGGTAACATATTGCGATGCGCGAAATTTAGCTGCTCCGCCAGGGGCCACTGAGGGGACATCCGACTCAACAAAGCCCTTAAGCATGTCAAATAATCGGTCGCGCTCTCAAATTCTCCCTGCGTTCTACGGAAAATTTCGTCTCGGAGCGCATATTGATAATCGGGGTCTCCAAATCTCCCTCTCCAGGCAGTCTCGAAATCCCGCCAATCTCTCCAATTTTCTGCCTCTAATCTCACCCAATATAAAGCGGTATCCGATAGAAACAACGGTAGGCACTTAAACAGATCCGCGTCCGAAATCGGTACAATGGGCCGGGCCTTCTTAATGCGTAGCAAAAATGCCTCCGCGTCGCTACCCCGTTTCCCCGAGAAGTGTAAATTCCACTTCCTCATAAGGTTATATGCCTCCGCGGTGGAAGCTCGTCCGGGTCGCGGGTTATTCGCCTCTGAAGCGGGATCGCGGTATCTAACTCGCGGCCTAACCGATTTTCGTTCCACCTCCTGTATCCCCTCGAATGACTCGAATAAGGGGGGTGTAGGATCGGCTGCGGCCCCCTCTTCTAAGGGGTTCCTACTTAGTAAAGGGTCCGATACCCTTCCGGGGGTTCCCTCCTCTGTCGCCATGTGCCCTCTCGCTAGTCCCTCCTCGTATTGCAACAATCGCGCCCTTAATACCGGCACAATACCCTGGATACTCAGGTTCCTATCAGCTAAGTGATGTCGCGCTTGACTCTCCGTTAAGCTTTGTATCCACCGGTGTGGATCGCTGCCTGGCCTCATCGGTAACTTTAAACGGAACGGTGATAAAATCGGAAAGTTTGAATCCAGTTGAGAGTAAACCGAAGCAAAACTGTTAAAAGTGAGTAGTTAATTTAAGAAACGAGAGGAAAAAGAAAAAAAAATTTTTGTGAACGGGAGTCAATAATCATAAAATAATAATAAAATTAATAATAAAAAAAAATTATATTGAGTGTTGATCCGCACTAATGATTTGAAATAATCCGAAAGAGAGAAAAAAAAATAAACGGAATGAAAAGGAATAATAATAATAATAATCCCAGAGCTATAAGAAATTAAAAATAATAATAAATTCAATACGAAAAAGGAAAAAAATAAAAACAGACAAAACACCAAAAAAAATTATTTGCTAAGAGGTTTCGGTAACTAGACTTAAAAAAAAAAATAAAAAAACCAAAAAAAAATAATAATAAATCGCGATATTAAACAGGAAAAATAATAACTTTCAGTCACGAAGTGAAGATTATAAAAGAAAAGAAGAGAAAAAAAATAATAACTTCAACAATATAAAAAGAGAAAGAAATTAATAACAATGACTCTAACAATATTCGATAAGAAAGACGGAAGGAAGAAAAAAAATTATACTAACAATAAGTACGTTTACCTCTCAACGGTTGACTCAAGGTACCCAAAAAAAGAAAACGAGAAAATAAAAACTCTACTGTTGTTCCAAAAAAGTAACACGAAAGAACGAGAGAGCAAAAAAAATGATAATATCTCATACAAAACAAACGACTAAATTCGGTATCCGTGTATAGGTCGAAACGGTATCAAGAGGCCAGGGTACTCGCCCTAAAGCTGAGTAACGGTATCCACGCACAACAAACAAAAACAAGCAGAAAAAAGAAATTTTATATATCTAAAATCGAAAATATTGTAAGAAATCGAATTATTAATGTAAGAATTTAATAAAGTATTTAATTACGGATGACCGTTAAAAGTTTTAACTGTTCTTAGAAAGCGCGGAAAGTACGAAGGTTTGAGAAAGGTGTTTGAAAGTCACTCAACAAAATATTCACGTAAAGACAAAGACTGCTATTTATTTCGTAAGACTCCCGTATACAAAAATCAACTATCTTTTAGGTATACTGCTCGAAGGAGAGTCCCGGGTTTCTCAGCTCGCTAGCTTAAATACCCTTTTGACTCTCCCGCGCGCGCCGCTCTAGTTTGCGCCCTTTACGCTTATCGCCGAGGGCAGCAGTTATCGGGGACAGATAGCTGTCGTATCGGCGCGTGCGCAATCAGCCGATCGGTGGCGATTGCTTTCAGCTCGGCCATGCTGCAATTAATTTCGTCTCGAAATTATAATTTTTTTTTTTTTTTTAATATTAAGTAGTACCGCTTATTATTTTAACAGGTACGTATTCTATTTATTTTACGCAGGTACGTATTACATTAATAAAATTTTTTTTTTTTTTACACTTATTAACATTAGACTATACAATACAGATTATTTACCTTGGCGACTACCTATTAATCGGTCTCTTTTTTCCCTATTTTTATCCAAGGTTTTATTCTATCTGCGGAAAGGATCGTATCCAGGGGTTTCTGCTTAATATTAAAGCCTGGGATGTCCTTAACGACATAGCGACTATTGCCCAGACTTTTTGCAATAAGGTAAGGCCCCTTATAATTTGGTTTGAGCTTTGAGCTCGTACCTATTTTGGGGCAGTGTCCCTTATCAAAACGTACTCCCCTGGTTTATATCGCGTTGGCTTGATACTGTGAGTATCTTTGTATTCTTTATTGTATGCTCTCACAAGGTCTGTTGCTCGTGAAGCATTGTCCCTATTAATATCTCTCTCTTTTTCTAGGTCCTCATCGACGGTGACAAGGGCCTTCGTGAAATTGGCTAGAGAGTGATCCGAATGGCTGCGTTGGTCAAAACCTAACATTAGTTTTGCTGGACTTGATTTAGTCACAGTGTGGTACGTATTGTTGATCACGTATTGCATTCTCCCTAAATAATTTTTCCACTCATCTGGCGCATCGATGAGCTTGGTTAGCGATGATTTTAAGAATCTGTTCACTCTTTCAACTGTGCCATTTGCCCAGGGTGCTGCTACGGCCACCTTGCGGTGCTTGATACCTTTGTCCGATAATAACTCTATGAATTCTTTAGAGGTAAAGGTGGTTCCTCTATCCGATATCACTTCCATAGGATTGCCAAAACTTGTGAAAATATTTTCTAAGCATGTAATTGATTCTCTACTACTGGTTGTTTTGTTGGGAAACAACCAGGTGAATCTGGTGAAAGCATCTATCACTACTAAGATATATTTGTATTTTTCTACAGTTTCCTGCAGTGGACCGAAGTGGTCTACATGCAACGTATTTAACGGAACCTTGGGCAAAGGATGCAGTTGAGTTTCCCTTTTGAACCTGTTAAGCGCGTTATTGGCTGTAAGACAGGTAAGACAATTGTCTATGTGTTCTTTTACGCGCTTCCTCATGGTGGGAAACCAATAGTTTTTTAAGATTCCGTTTACTGTTTTTTCTACTCCGCAATGAGCCATCTCGTTATGATAAATTCTCATTATATTGGATATCATCGACTCCGGAATTACAAATTTCAGTTCGTTATCGATTTTCTTATAAACCAATCCGTCTACTAATGCGAATTTATCATTATGCTCTAGTTCTAACGTTTTACTAATTTCTAGGATATTCGAATCCGCAAGCTGAAGGAACTCAAGTCGTCTCTCCAGCGGAAGTTCGTCTATGTGTGCGACACTTCGACTAAGTGCGTCTACATGTGCCATGCGACTACCTGGACGATGTATGATGTCGAACGAGTAATTTTGCAGCGCGAGAGTCCATCGAGCTATTCGCGGGTTTAGGTTTGCTTTATTTACGGCATATACTACTGCGTTACAATCTGTTACAATTGTGAACCGCGTGCCATATAAGTATATGTGAAACCGCTCAACTGATTTAACGATTGCTAACATTTCCAGCTCGTAGCTGTGATACCTGCTCTCTGCTGCGTTCGTACCTTGACTAAAATACGCAACTGGACCCCAGGAATTATCGCGTCGCTGGAGAAGGATCGCTCCGAACCCTAAGCAACATGCGTCTGTGTAACTGGGTTTCGGCCGCCGGATCGTACAGTCTCAGCAACGGAGTGGAGGTCAGCTCCTTTTTCAAAGTTTCGAATGCTTGCGCGCAACGTTCGTCAAAATTGTATACAACGTCTTTTTTCAAAAGATTCTGTAGTGGTTTAGCTTTCAGCGCGAAATCTTTAACAAATTTTCTGAAATAACTCGCGAGTCCTAGAAAACGTTGTAATTTTAATTTGTCGGACGGTTCTCTATATCCTGTGATCGCGTCCACGTGACGGGGGCTTAATGTAATCCCGTCCGCGTTTATTATGTATCCCAAAAATTCTATCTTCTTCCTTAAAATTTACATTTTCCGAAATTTAGCTCGAAGCCGTGCGTTTTCAATATAACGAGAACTTCTTTTAGTGTGTCAAGATTTTGCTCTATTGTTACAGACTGTATTAGCACGTCGTCTATATAGACTATTACTTTGTTTTCTCTGATTAACGAATTAAGGATGCTAATTAGTCTTTTCTGAAATTCGGCCGGTGCCTCGCAATAACCGAATGGCAACCGGGTAAACTCGAATTGACCGTCCGCGAATGAAAGTACTTCATGGAGTCTTCATGGACTCTGATTTGATGAAAACTATCTTTTAAGTCCAATAATGAAAAAACGCGACTTCCACTCAATCGCGATAAGCATTCTTCGATTACCGGGAACGGATACTTTTGCTTGATCACACGATTGTTCAACGGTCGCAGATCAACACACAAACGCATCTTACCATTTTTCTTTTTCACAGGTAGACCCGCGCGCAATAGGCGAGACGCTCGGCCTAATAATACCTCGCTCTAGGAGGTCGTCTGTGATTTGCCGGATCTGCGTTCGCTCTACATTTGCGAAGCGCCTGGGTGCGAACGCATAGATTGACGGATCTCTCAAATGTACACGCACTGAGAAGTCGTCGTTTACAGGTGACGTGTCCTGTTCTTGTATCTCTAAAATAAATTTTTGCAACTTTATTTTGTTTCGCGCCCGAAGTCTATTTTATGTTCCTCGAGTATTTGTTTTAAACTCAAGTCCTCGTCGATATACAAAGGCAAATTCGCAAACATGTTATTCGGTCATGTTCACCTTGCGCCGCCGGTTCGTATATTAGAGTGATATTGTTTTTCGACAAAAATTCTCTCCCAAGTATAATGTCGCCCTTGAACGCGTCGGAGTGCAAAACTTAAACCGTATTGAAAATGTTTGTCGCTAATTTTTTTCACAGTTATCTGAGCGTCCACCAACCCGAGTATTTTCAACGGGACGTTCGATAGATTACGTAAATTTGTTTCAACCGATTTGAGAACGCAAATGGCGCAATAAATTTTTCATATACGCTATTTTTACTAGCGAAACCGGGCTATCCGTATCTATAAGTCCTAACAAATCGCATGAATTTCCTAAAATTTCGTTATAGAAATCAACGGGTCGTCGACGGTCGACTTGCACGCTTCCTGTGTTGCCGCCACGAAATCGGATGCTACCTCGTCCGCGGCACGTTGGCTGCTGCAGTGATTCCCGATGCAGGCTGCGCCCTGGTCGCCGACTTCGACTCCTTTTTCTTTAATGCGGGGCAATCAAACCGACGATGCCCCTTCTCTTTACAGTAGAAAACAAGTGGTCTCACCTCTACAGTCCTTGTGAGTATGCCCTCTTTTACCACAATTTCTGCAGGCTGACTCCTTGCCGCCCTTGCTGGACTGACCCTGCTGCGCTGGTTTCCGGTCCCACTCGGAGGCGCCCTGAGTGATACGCCGCATCCTCTCCAGGAAGCCGTCCACCGTGTCCTCCGATAGTGACAGCGGCGGTCGCCTTCAAAGTCAAGTGGTGATGGTGATTCCGCTCACCAACAGATGCACCTTGTCCGCCTCGGGAAGGTCCACTCGATGCAGCATTGCCATTTTTTCTA